TTGTGCTTGATTGATGATCAGTCCAAATCTTGAGGCAGAGAAGTGGAAGCAGAAAGACCTTGTGCAATAAAATGCTTCAGCAACAAAGAAGGGAGGACAGGGAGGACCTGGTTACTGCCCATCCACTCCCACCTTCCTCCTTGCTGGCTGCTTCCAGCATACAATTCATGAAGGAGGTTAAAACTCTACATCCACTCTGGTGTCTGCCTGCTGTGCAAGCTGAGATTGGTTGTTGAAAGTCTTCATGCTTCTACTTCCCCAGCATGTCTGCCCACAGACCTCCCTCCTGCTGCCCTGGCCTGAGCAGCTGAGACTGCAGGCTGTGGAGGGATGCAGGAGAGAAGGCTCTTCCATGCAGCATGGACCACACAAGGTTGTGTCAGTAGCTTTCGTAGGTCAGTGTCCTGCCCCATTTAGGGTCAAAGGCGTCTTGCTTTGTGGTATAAAATCAGAGAACAGCACTGTCCTAGGGTGTGTGTTTGTAACTGAGGCAGTTAATACTTCTCACATACATGAGGGTTTCCTACTTTATTTCTGCCATTTATCCTAAAGGGGGAGGGTGATCATCCTGGGCACTGGATAGCTGTAGCACACCTGTTCTTCAAATACTGTGGGGAGGACAGGTAGCAAGGAGAGGGAGAGACTACCTGGAACCTTAGGACAGCAGAAGACTATGAGTTCAGGGAATGACTCAGGCTGCATGTTTTGACATGATCTATGTGGTAACCTCTGGGGAAGAGAGGTGCTGCACAGACCTCAGCAGCGCTTTCCACAGACAAGTGGGCCACAATACCCCTCTCCACAAGGAGCCTGAGCAGATCTGCCTGCTTCCCCACTGTGGGCTGGATGCTGAGCCCCTGAGACTTACTGATGAATGCAGATTATCCAATTTTATCAAAATATTTCTCCACATCTCTAAAAAAAAACCAAGCTGAGACAGCAAATACAGGGGTGGTTGGACTGGGGGTTACAAACTCTTGGCTTGTCTTGTTTTGGCTGTATCTAGCCCCGTGTTTTACTGTTACAGCCCTCCTTTCCTCTTTTTAACCCTGACTACAGATGCTTTTGACCTTTGACAATCCACAGTGCAGTTGCTTTGGATAACACACTGAAGATACACATTCTCTGCTGTTCTTTTTGTGTTGTGCTGGAGCCCAGGCAGGTCTGCATTACTTAGCAAGCATTAGCAGCAGCAGTCAGATGAGAAGCCTGACAACAAATGAGTTGTAAGGGTCAAGATGGGACAACATCACCTTGCAATCCTGTTGAAATTCCACTTTAACCATGAGAGTTGCACAGGCATAGAAAAGGAGAAGCAAGCTTCAACTCAGGAAATCATGGGCCCATGTGGAGCCAGTGAATTGTTTTACATTCTGCTTAGCATCCTGGCTGGCATGTACCACCTGTAGTAACTGCTGGGTGATAATCACACATGCCTTTTATGAACTGTCTAGGAATTAAAAATTGTAGTTTTCTGAGCATCTAGATAAGCTCTCAAGAGGCAAAGTTGTTAAAAAGAAGACATAATGCTGTCTTCTGTTTTTTTTTTTTTAATTTATAGGGGTCACCTTAAAATTTTCCCATGGGACAAGGGGGGCTAGAAATGTTTCCTGTTTTGAAAATCTCATATTCTCATATGTAATCTCATTACAGTGGGAGTTGGGTCATTTAGAGCACCATCAGGATTAGGGCACACTGTTCTGTTGTGACAAAAAATATTTTGTGGAAGGATGCATACTACTTCTTTAAAAATGTAGCCTGGGGTAGACAAAGGGGAGTTGGTGACAGAAGCTTTTGTATGAAGCAGTGTGCTAAAGCAGCCAGGGAATATATTGCATGCTCATAAAGTTCCTTCTTCAGTGTGAAAAGTGCACGCTTTGTGAGTGGCAGAGGTCTTTTTTTACCTTTTGACATTCTAACTTGACCCATAATGAGGCATCCACCAGCCCACCTTTTCAGTCCTTTCCAAAGAGCTGCCAAAACTGAAGAGATTTTTTTGAGAATAATCTGTGACACAGCAAGGTTGGCTGTAAGGTTTGTTTGTTTTTCTCTCTCCTGCTGGTTCCTACTATTCTCTTACTCCCACATCTTATCTGACTCTTGTTTTCAAATGCATTCTTCAACCTTCTCCTTCCCTACCTACTGCATCCTGTGTTCTGCTTTGTGACTTCCTTCTCTTTTCTTATGGCTTTTCTTTCCAGTTCCTGTTTGTTCTGGTCCCCAAGGAGCGAGCAGTGAAACATTAACAGTTACTGGAGGGCCAAGTTAATATGGCTCTTGTTATGAGTTTAGAGTTCAGGTGAGGGCTCTGTGAGACATCTATTGTGTACAACATTGTGCTCTCCAGCTCTATGCACCACTTAATTACTGGGGCAGCAGATGGAATGTGTATCTGTCCTTCACCCACTAGCATCCACAGTGCAGCATTCAGGATAAAAATGCTGATAAAAGTCGATCTTTGCTAAGATAGGGATGTTCCAGTTACTGCAAGTTAGTTAACAGGTGGTAAACTGCTTTGCTGTTATCACTTCACTGCTGTCTCAGCTGCAGAGAAGTTTAAAAGCTTCAGACAGAGTAGGCAGAGCAAGTGGATTTGTATCATCAGATGTGTCTTGACAGGGGTTATGGGACTTGCAGGTAATCTGAAAGTGGTTTGGAAAACATGCCATTTCACAGTAAATTAATCATATATAGCTGTGCCTTCTATTCTAAGTCGTATTGTTGCTTTTACAATAAGGCTGTTACATTAGTAGGAGATAAATCCCTGTGTTATCTGTACCTCTTTTTCAGTTGAGGACCACCAGCCTCATAAATCTGTGCTTACAGTATGTGCAGGCACTTCCTGCACTGATGTCAACATAGGCTGAGTATTAATCAGAGATATAAAATACTTACTTTATTTACAGTTTCTCCATTCAAATGTTGCATGGGTAAGGCTGGAAAATGTAGGTCTTTAGCATCTTTCTGCGAATACATCTAATTTGCCCATAGCGAGCTTTTATGTTGCCTGAAAATATAGCTTTACAGACTATGTAGAGAAGAGCATTTTCTAGCTGAGGTTAGCTGTAGCCAAAAGTTTGGTTAGTCTGACCCTTGCAGTTCACAAAATCTACCTTTGTTAATGAAAATGTGTCTGGAAGAACAAACCTTTCAACATAGTAGTCACTGTGCTGGCAAATTTACCTTGCTGCTAATTTCTTGTGCCTGTGATGCCCAGATGCTCATCACTTGCGTGCTAATGTAGTCTCCTGCCCTGCTGACTTATTTATAACCAAGATTGATCTTTTTATGCTACATATAGCAATTAGTTTGGGTTTTTAATCTTATTTCACATATTTTTGTGTATTCAAGAGATAAGGAGGAATCTAACTTGTAAAATGTGTTTGATATGAATGGATTGGTGAGTAGATATACCTGTTCTTTTGGGATATCACTTATTTTTACTAACACCATCTTAACAGAAAAATAAATGTAAAGGAATTAAAACCTGATGTATTTGTTTCCTATACATGTATACAATTTCACTACTTCTCAGATTTCTAGCTGATTTTATATAGTTGATTTTATACAGTTGATAGTCTGATTTTATACAGTTTCCAGTTAACTTCTGTAATTTCAAATATTTTGTTTGGGAATGTAACTGTAGTAGGTAGTTATTTCTTGAAATACTACCTAGGTTATTAATAAAAAAAAAAGGTAAAATGAAGGTGATTTAAAAATTGAGAGATACGTTTACATATATATGCACAAATACGTTTATATATATATGTGTGTGTGTGTATATATATTATTTTAATGCATCTCTTCTGCCTTGTTTCAGGTTGAAGAAACTTCTTGAGCAGGAGAAGATCTATCAAGCCCGGAAGGAGAAGGAACATACAAAGAGACTCAATAAACTAAGAGAAGAACTAGTCAAGCTTAAATCATTTGCACTCATGCTGGTGGATGAAAGACAAATGCATATTGAACAACTTGATCAACAAAGCCAGAAAATACAGGACTTAAATCAAAAACTAAAGGAGGAAGAAGACAAGCTTAAAGTTATTAGTGCGAAAACAAAAGAAGATGGAAAAAAACTAATTAAGTTAGAGGCAGAACTTGAACACAAAACATCATCATTTTCTCAAGAACATGAGGAGATGACTGCTAAACTGGCTAATCAAGAGTCACATAATAGACAGCTCAGGCTTAAGCTAGTGGGGTTGACTCGCAGAATAGAGGAGCTGGAAGAAACTAACAAAAATCTTCAAAAAGCTGAGGAGGAACTTCAAGAGCTACGAGATAAAATAGCAAAAGGGGAATGTGGGAACTCTAGCTTAATGGCTGAAGTGGAAAACCTCCGCAAGCGTGTGCTTGAAATGGAGGGGAAAGATGAAGAGATCACAAAAACTGAATCCCAGTGTAAAGAGCTGAAAAATAAACTGCAAGAGGAAGAGCACCATAGCAAAGAGTTGAAACTTGAAGTGGAAAAATTGCAGAAAAGAATGTCAGAACTAGAGAAGCTGGAAGAGGCTTTCAGTAAAAGTAAGTCTGAATGTACCCAGCTGCATTTAAACTTGGAGAAAGAAAAGAATTTTACTAAGGATTTGATAAATGAGTTGGAAGTGGTGAAGACTCGAGTGAAAGACCTTGAGGCATCTGAAAGCAAATTGGAAAAGGCTGAAATAAGCTTAAAAGATGACCTGACAAAGCTGAAGTCATTTACTGTAATGTTGGTTGATGAACGAAAAAATATGATGGAAAAAATAAAACAGGAGGAAAAAAAGGTTGAGGGTCTAAACAAGAATTTTAAAGTTGAACAAGGGAAAGTTATGGATGTAACAGAGAAGCTGATAGAAGAAAGTAAGAAATTTTTGAAACTGAAATCCGAAATGGAGGAAAAAGTGTCTAGTTTGACAAAGGAAAGGGATGAGTTAATTGGCAAACTGAGAAGTGAAGAAGAAAAATCCTCTCAATTAAGCTGTAGAGTTGACCTGTTAAAGAAACGAATTGATGGTATAGAGGAAGTAGAAAAAGAAATTACAAGAGGTCGAGCCAGGAAAGGAGCAGAGCATGGGTGTCATGAGGACAACAAGATTAAAGAACTTACTGTTGAAATTGAAAGACTGAAAAAACGTCTCAAGCAATTGGAAGTTGTTGAAGGAGATTTGATGAAGACAGAAGACGAATATGATCAGCTAGAGCAGAAATTTAGGACTGAGCAGGATAAAGCTAACTTTCTTTCTCAACAGCTGGAGGAGATGAAGCTCCAGATTGCCAAAACCAAAGCAATAGAAAAAGGCGAAGCAGTGAGCCAGGAGGCAGAACTGAGGCACAGGTTTCGTCTGGAAGAGGCCAAAAGCAGAGATTTGAAAGCAGAAGTTCAAGCTCTTAAAGAAAAAATCCATGAGCTGATGAACAAAGAAGACCAGCTGTCTCAGCTCCAGGTTGATTATTCGGTTCTGCAGCAAAGGTTTATGGAAGAAGAAAATAAAAACAAGAGCATGGGGCAGGAAGTTCTGAACCTAACAAGAGAGCTGGAGCTTTCTAAGCGTTACAGCCGTGCTCTGAGGCCCAGCATAAATGGACGAAGAATGGTTGATGTTCCTGTGACATCCACTGGTGTGCAAACAGATGTTGTAAGCAGTGAAGCAGCAGAAGAAGAAACTCCAGCAGTATTTATAAGAAAATCCTTCCAGGAGGAGAATCACATAATGAGCAATCTGCGACAGGTAGGTCTGAAAAAACCCATGGAACGTTCTTCAGTGCTCGAGAGATACCCTCCAGCAGCAAATGAACTTGCAATGAGGAAATCTTGGATACCATGGATGAGAAAGAGGGAAGCTGGAGCTCAGGCAGCTCCTGATAAAGGAGCTCGAACCCACAGTAGTCCGGGGCATCCTGGGGAGGTTGTCCTTTCACCAAAGCAGGGTCAACCTCTTCATATTCGGGTGACACCAGACCATGAGAACAGCACAGCTACTTTGGAGATAACCAGTCCAACCTCAGAGGAATTTTTTTCAAGTACCACCGTCATTCCTACATTGGGAAATCAGAAGCCACGAATAACCATCATTCCCTCTCCGAACGTTATGTCCCAAAAAGGGAAAGGCAGTGAAAGTCCCATGGGCCCAGATCGTTCTATGTCTCCAGTCACTATAACAACATTCTCCAGGGAGAAGTCCCCAGAGGGAGGGAGAGCATCCTTTGCTGACAGACCTGCTTCACCCATTCAAATTATGACAGTATCAACATCCGCAGCACCAGCAGAAATCTCTGTCTCTCCTCAGTCACAAGATATGACCATGGGAAGGGCTGTCTTCAAGGTAACGCCAGAAAAACAAACCGTCCCAACTCCAATCCGCAAGTACAATGCCAATGCCAACATCATTACCACAGAAGACAACAAAATCCACATCCACTTAGGTTCCCAGTTCAAACGCTCTCCCAGTGCAGCACCTGATGTTGCGAGTCCTGTGATAACAGTCAGACCAGTGAACGTAGCAGCAGAGAAGGAAGTTGTGACTGGGACTGTCCTTCGATCGCCCAGGAACAACCTGTCCTCACGACCTGCAGCAAGCAAGGTGACAAGTACTATCACTATCACGCCTGTTACAACGTCTTCCACACGAGGAACACAGTCAGTGGTAAGCAGCATAGTCTTGTGATGTAGTCTTCGTGGTGGGGATAAGGGAAACCACATCTTGGGCTTGAGACACTAGAAAGAATGGGTGGGGTGAGGAGAAACTCTTTGACTTCCTCACATGTCTCTCAGATACAAGTTTAACTATGAAATTAGAATTTGCCTGATTTGGGTATTTTTGTATCAGTGCTGGACACTGATACACTCCTGGCATTACCTCCTAAAGAAGTCCCTGCAAAGTTCCTTCAAAGTTATTTTCATAATAGCAATCCTGTACATTTGCAAGTGAAAGATAGAAAGGGACAAAGAATGATGATGTCAGAGCAGGAAACGGGTTGTTGTTTTTTTCTTTTTGTGACTGCAGTTTCTGACTTCTGAGAATACTCATAATGATTTTTGGCCCAGCTCGTGGGTCTTTACAGTCTGATCTTACAGTCTGGTTATTTATTTGGTTACAGTTAAAATTAAAATAGTATCTGCTATAGTACTGAACACCAAAGGAATATATACAGGCAAACATTATTAAAATACCATTGCTTACAGTTCCAAGCCTCTTTCAGCCAGTGAACAGTAAAGCTCTTTCTGTTCTGCTGAAATTTCCAGCTTCTGTAACTGCTGAATTACAATTGTGCTTCCTCCACTGTATTTTTTTTTTTTGCTGCTTTCTCTCTGTGCCTCTGTGGTGGTTCCCCAACTTCTTTTTTGTACTTAAATCAATCTCTGACCTCTGTCTTTAAACATATTGAACAACAATAATTGACAGCCCTTCCCCTAGGTTTATTATTGGTCATGGTTTTGCATTGCTTTAGTTTGAAATAATCCTGGGAAAGAAGAATTTAACCAAAATACAAAACCAGCAGTATTGTATTAGTCCAAAAGCTTACTTAGCTAGACAGAGTCTGCAGCAGATGCTTAAGGGAAGATTATTTTAAGTGGGTAAACAGGCACTAATGTTCCCCTCAACGTTTGTTCCCAGTTTTTTGGCAATAGGTGGGTATTTCTTTTTGAACCACAGCCTGTAGCCACATCTCTGTGTTTAATAGACCGTGGTGGAGTTTTCTTCTATTTATTCTTCTAATTGCTTTTTGAACTCATTTATACTCTTGTCTCCAACAACATCAGGGGGGCAGTGAATTTGGTTGTGGGCTCTGGGAAAAATGCTCTTTTGTTTGATACCTTTTATGCATTACCTTCATTGGTTACAGCCTCTTTCTTGCATCTTGACAAATACTGAATAGTCATCCCCTGTTCATTTGTCCGTGCTGCTTAGGAGTTTGCAGACCCCTACCACATGCCTCTTCAGGCATCTCTTTCTAAGCTGAAATGTCAAAGTGTATTTAAGATACATTTCCACTCTTTTGGAGAGAGGCTGCCATTCCCATTTAAGCCTCCAAGAAAACTTGCATTCGTCCTATGGATCTATTTGGGATCGCATGTGCCTGCTCTCCCTCTCCCCTCATATATACTGTATTGTAGATACTTTACTGTACAGTGTTTTCCTATGTATTAGAGACAACTGTTCGTTTTTTAAAAGTCTTGAATTAATTAATTTACAAACTCCTTTGTCTCTCAGAAGCTTGGAAAACTTTTTTTTTTTTTAAGAATTCCTCATTCTTTTTTTACTAGATGTCTGTCTCTACTGTGATGATGCACTGAACCGTGGTAGACAAAACTTTTTTGTTTTGTTTTCATCTGGCTAAAAAGTGGCTTTTTTCTTCACTTCATCCTCCCTGATTTGGAATGTAAGGAAAATAGTTCAGCCATAAGATTTACATTATCTCATGCTTTCCTTTGTTTTTTAGCATCCGTAGTCAGATGAGCAGGGAACTTCTAACAAGCTCAAATGTGCCTTTTCCTTCCTAACCCCCTGAAAAAAAAAAAAAGAAGAGAAAAAAAGTAAAAAAAAAAAAAAGTTATATATTCACCATCTGTTTTGCAAATGACTATTTTGCAAACACATTTCAATATCCCCAGTTAGAAAAAACAAATTGTGACCCTTGTAACCCTAGAAGAAACCAAGATTGATATAATTTTGAGGGTTTAAATTCCTAAAATCAAAAAAGGCAAACTGATAGGCAGCTGCTTTCTTAGATCACTGGTTTTAATCTTTTTTTCTTAACTCTCTTCATAAAAGATGCTATGTACAAGTTATTAATGCAGTGCTAAGCTACAAAGAGGAAAATAATTCTGAAATTCCTAGCTCTCAAAGGTTGCTATATCAAATTTGCAGTTTCATATTTGAAAACATTTCACTCTTTTTCTCATTTGAATTTATAGCATTATCTTCAGTACTGCAGGTGAAGTTAATTTTAAGGTGCACACGTGGTACTTTTAAAGGTCCAGCTTGAGCTGTGTTGTCTCCCTACATATGTGAGACCAAAATCAGAGACAGGTTTCATGATGGACTGTCATGATTTTTGAATCCTATGGATTAAGGGGTCTCATGTTTGTGTTGAGTTACACTGACATACACTCTAGAGCAGCTAGAGATTTATATATCCCTGATCCAAGTTCTCTTCTGAGTGTCTAAAAGTTTGGATTTAGATAAAAGGAGACCCTGATCAAGAATAAAAGACACAGGCACTTGAGTAGGAACATAGGAAATTTTTGAGCACTTAACCAAAAAAGGCACAAGCCAGTGGCTGTGTCTCCACTGGCACCTGAACTCACTGGACCCAAATGTTTTGAAGGCACTTCATGTTCTTGTCCGATGCACAAGCCCAGGGCTGGCCAGCTGAGGAGCTGGTGTCGTCACACCAGCACTGCCACCCAGGGAGCTCCAGTCCCATAGAAGTCTCCACTGCAGGAGCTGATGTGATGGAGACCAGCTGAATTGAATTCATCATTTAGCAGAACCATTGCCTCTTTGAATTTAAAAAAACAAAACCCAAAACCAACAACAACAACCCCCCCAGAAAAAAACCCTAAGCTGTTAACTGCCTTTTATATGATAGCTTCTGCATTTGGGTAAGTGCTATAAAAGTGGAATAAATGATTCCTTGATTAGAGTCAAACTTAGAAACAGGAAGATACTTGGACTACTGTAGTTGACCTAGCAGATAATTTTTTTATTACAGGTGGACCACAGCACAACCAAAAATTCAAGACTATGGGACCAGAGGATATGCAGAGTGAAATGAGCCTGGGACTGTAACCACATTAGCCCCAGTCCCTGTTCCGATCACAGTTTACATTAAAAACCCCACAGAATAATAACAAATGTTATTTGGGAAAAAAACAAACCAAGACACAATACTGCCTATATCCTGTTGGTTTTGTTTGTTGGGGTTTTTTTATTTATTTAGGCCTCACATTTGGCTACTAGGATGGGTGTCAGTCTATAATCACTTCATCCCTGTGCTCCCACCTCCTGCGAGACTGGCATCCAGCACTGGCTGTTTGCAGTGCCAGGGAACACAGTGAATCCAGTGACATGTAAATCCGCAGGGAGTAGAGGGAGTCCTGGCTGCAGCAGAGCCAGAGTAGTGGCACAGCACCAACCCTGCCAAGTGCCCCGTGGCCAAGGCAGCAAGGCACAGCTGAAAGGCTGGTGGGTGCCAGAGCTAGGAACATGTTAAAGCAGCTATAGGGCTACTTTGGTTTGGGCAGCATTTGGTTTGAGATGGGCATCTAAATTTATGTTTTTGTAGGTGTCCTGTGTATGCTGTAGGCTTCTGTTAGTTACTAGAGAAGCAGGGGTCAGCTCACTTGCCCATGTGGAGGTGCATGGTGCTAGCTGCTCGCTCTGTGGCAGTTGAGACGCCTGCTTGAGGGTGGAAGGTATAGTACAGACCTGTACCTTCCTATAGTGGAAGCTGATGGGATACCTCAGATGGCACAGGATGCCTCTGTGGAGGCAACTGAGTCAATCCCTAGTTATCAGTCCCCTCCTCAGCACTGAGGCTCTATGGAGACTGTTGTGTGATTCAGCTGAGATGTTGCTGGCTTCAGCATGAGCTAAATTGCCCACTGGGATCCACTGACTGTATTGACTTGATCTTAAGTCCCACCCTTTCAGGATTCAATTGTCCCAACATACTTCTGTAGTGTCATTTTAAGCAGCTGTCAAGTAGCTTGCCTAACTTCCAGCTGTGTTATCAGAGGCTGCATGTCTCCTTGGGTCCTCTGTCTTATCTACCAGCCCTGTGCAGATAGCTTGAGTAGCCCAGGGCATCTCAAATTGCAGCAGATACCTGTGCAAACCACTTAACTGAACCAGTACAAGAAGGACAGGGAACTGCTTGAAAGAGCCCACTGCAGAGCCACGTAGACAATTAAGGGAGTGGAACATCTCCCTTATTAGGAAAGGCTAAGGGAGCTGGGTCTCTTTAGCTTGGAGAAGAGGAGACTGAGGGGTGACCCCATCAATGTTTACAAATATGTTAAGTGTCAGGAGGCATGAGCCAGGCTTTTTTTCAGTGATGTCCAGTGATAGGACAAGGGGCAATGGGTGCAAACTGGAACATAGGAGGTTCCACATAAACATCAGAAAAAACTTCTTTACTGTGAGAGTGATAGAGCCCTGGAACAGGCTGCCCAGAGAGGCTGTGGAGTCTCTTTCTCTGGAGACATTCAAAACCCACCTGGACATGTTCCTGTGTGATGTGCTCTGGGTGATCCTGCTCTGGCAGGGGGGTTGGACCAGATGATCTTTTGAGGTCCCTTCCAACCCCTAAGATTCTGTGATTTCTGGTCCAGGGCACATTGGTCCCTGATCTGATCAGGAACAAGTGCTGAAAAAGCACCTTTTTAATTTAAATATTCCAAAACTGAATGTGTGCATGTAAGGACTCATTTTGTGTGTCAACAAAATGCATTAAGCAGAATCTGTTATAAAGCCCTGAAAAATGCTAAATGTTCCGTACATTCAAATTGCTTTTCTTCCTTTAACGGGGCTGTCCAACCTTGCTGCAACCTCAGTGCCTGCAGGGAGAGCTGATTATCAACAACCTAACCAGCTTAGCGTCTGCATGTATTTATCTCATGCTCAGTAATGTAGTTACTAGCCTGGCTCTGGCCTCCTGTGCTGTTCCAGTGCCACGTACCACCTGCTTGGAGCCAGCCAGCATCACTCTGTGTCCCACAGGGCCACCAGGGCCGTGTCTCTGGTGCTCCATGCTGGTTGTTTAACAGTTGGTTTCTGGTTGAAGCCGCATTCCTTTACCAACCAGGAGAGAGAGCCTATGGACAAGCAGGGCTGGAGGCAATTTGCTTAGAGCTTGGTTCTGGGAAGAAATGGCCAAGAGACAGACAGTCATGTGGGTTCTCTGCCACAGGCGCTACAAATCTGTACCCAAGAGTGTCTTGGGACTGCTTGCTGAAGAGCCAACTTTGTGCCGTTTCATTTAGCAAACACAAAATGCTTTTGCAGCTGGGTGTGAAGCAGGCATTAGCTTCCATATGATCAACATGTTAGTATGCCCTAAGGAAGGCAACTAAGAGATTTAAAGTAAGTTAGAGTTCTTTTCAAAGTACTTTTGAGTGATTTAGTCTTGAAATGAGTAACTTGAAAGTGCTTAAATCCTTAGTTAATAATTTACATGTGAATAAAGCTGAAGAAATGCCTGAGATTCCAGCTACTTCATTTGATTGCCTCATGTTTACACACTGTGGAGCTCTTTTAGGGAGTACAAGATGTTTGTCATTTGGGTTCCCTGGGATGTTGACATATTTTCCAAGGCTGATGGAATGCATTTGCATGTTTTGCCCTACAGAATTGTATGGGCCTAACTTGTTTTGACATCTACATGTGAGTTCCATATTAGCCTTTAGACTGCTATTGTAAATGTTGCTTTTAGTTATTGAAAATGGCTTCCTTCCTGCCAGGCAGACAGCATTCAAGTTTTCCAACTGTGATTTTTTTTGTGTGTACATATGGGGTTTTGAAATGTTCTTAGAAGCTTAAGGAATGCTTTTCCTTTGAATACTCAGGATGCAGACAGAAGGCTCTGATGCTACTGGCTGGAAATCCTTTGAGAGAGAAAAATGTTCCCTTGTGGAGCCTTTTTAGGAGCATTTTGAAGTAAATGTGGAAATACATGTTGCAGTCGACGTTATGCACTAATCCAGTCTATTTCAGCAGTTTAGTTTCATTTTGTTTATATGTTGTAAGTTGCAGAATTTAGTTATTAGTGGATGGGTCTAGCTAGGATCCCAGGATCTTATGAAAAGTGTTCACTTTTGTGAGGTCAAAGGTTTTGTCCATAATCTGAACAGAAATAGGAGCTGACACACCAAAGTTGTCACTGTTAACATTTGTGTCTGTATTGCACACTGCAGAAGACAGAACACAATTTCCTTTGAGAATTGTCATGGTTCTAAGTATTTTCTTTAGATCATGGTCCATAAAGGGTACCTTCCAGTTTTGGCCTTGCACAATATATGCAACATTATCTTACCCATGGAGACTGAAAATACCAGTTGGCCGTTTTGAATCTTTTTGTCCTATCTAAGTGTTCCTTGTGCATTTACACAGTGCAATTCAGTTGCCTAAACTTATGTGCTGATTGCCATTTTCAAAGCTACAGGAGAGCCAGTCTGGCCTCCAGCTGGTGCTCCAGAAGTGCACAGATCCATAGTAGGAGCTGTGCTGGGTCTGCCAGGTCTGTACTTAGGTCCTCAGCCACTTAGGCTGTTTTTATGTTTTATTCTGAAGTCCTCGAAGTAGAGAAGTGTGCTTGGCAGGCTGGTGTCAAGGGCAGCAGACTGGCAGAGACAGGGAAATGACCATGTCCCTACTGCTGTGAAGCATCCCAGGAAATCGGGGCTGCCTGCTTCACCCTCACCAGAGTTCATCAAGTCGTGTCTAGGGCTTGGAGGGGGAGAGCCCCCTCCCACAGCCACAGGAAGAGGAAACCCAGTTCTTTGCTCTTTCTCGTCTCTCCTAGACCCCTGCACTTCCCAGTGCAGAAATCAGTGGCCCCAGCCATGGCCCCAGCATACTTTAGGAAGCAGATTTCAATTTTATCCATATTGCTGAGAAGTCTTGCCCCAGCTCTGACAATATGGCAGTTACTCTGGGTTCAGCATTAGTCTCACAAGGCTACCTATCTTGAGGGCCTGTGCTAGTCTCTGTGCAAGATGCTAATATGGTACCTGTCTGACAGCTAAGCCAGAGTTTCAGGAGCCTCTAAGGCCATCCTGCCCTGTGCTGTGCTGTGGAGTCGGGGTTTTGCAGGGATTCCCATCTCTGTGGCAGCTTGATCCTAAACACCAGACCCCAGCTCTGGGGAACTCTGATCCTGACTGTACCTTTGGCCCTGTGTGCAACGACCAGGTTCCAGATGTCAGCTTTAATTGCTGATAGGTGTGATTTGGGACATTGTTCCTTGAAAGGTGAATGAAGAACCGGTGAGAAGTACAAGATGAGCATATATGAAATAAGAAGTTCTCCATTCATGTAATTTCTCTCTGTCTCTCTCTTTTGCAGACAGGACAGGATGGGTCATCCCCGAGACCTGCACCCACCCGCATTCCTGTGTCAAAAGGTATGAAAGCAGGAAAGCCAGTAGTGGCAGCCCCAGGAGCAGGAAATGTGACAAAATTCGAGCCTCGTGCCGAGACTCAGTCTATGAAAATAGAACTGAAGAAATCTTCAGCCAGCAGCTCTGCCTCCCTGGGTGGAGGTCAGGGCTGATGGCAGTGGCTCAGGGGGTATGTTCTGCAGGTTTTACTGCTGCCATGGAAGTCAACCCCCTGCCTGTGTAGTTGCTCATGTTTGCCTGTACTAATGGAGTCCTGTAGCTGTCACTTACAACAAACTAATCAGTGTGTGCACTGACTACTAAAGTAACAACATCCTTTTGTTTTCTTACTGAAGTTTAAAAAGGAAAAAAAAAAGCCAACAAAAAGGCATTTGTATGCCATGAAGATTTTCAGCCTAGAAAGTGAGAACAGGGCAGCTGCACTAGGTTGTTAATCTAGTTTGGGAACTCTTAATGATAGACTTGGTCACTTCTTTGTAGATCGAAGGAAGGCTGGTCACTTTTGCTAGATCGTCTTCCACCCTAACCGATCACTTTCCACTTTGCTACTGCATGAGGCACTTTCCTTCCTGCCTGTGATCACATTACTGAGATGCCACATTGCCCAGGGGAGCGATGCCAGGAGACAGGGCACTTGTGATCTGGTTTTAATGAAAACTGGTACCTCAAGTGTGAGAGGGAGAAGAGGGAAAAGATGAGCACTGTGTGACCAGCTGTTTCTCTAGAAGTCTCCCATCCAAATCAGTGCTTCTCAGGGGTGAGCTGCTTTCTCAAGGCAATTAAAAAAATTCAAGGGGTTAGGGAGGTTGCACAATGTTTGGCAGGAGCAGTGCTAAGCAGCAGCTTATTTCTTCCAGAGGGATTAAGGGACACTGCCAGCTCAGGGGTCAGATGAAGGCAAGGGAGCCAAAAGGTGTTTAGTCTTTAGTAAAATATTGAGAAACGTTGATCTAGCTAAAATCAATACAGTCCATCTGTGCCTGCTCCAAAGACCACTAAAGGCTATGAAGGGAGTCACTTCACTGGGTTTTCAGTTTTCCTGGTTGGATGAATTTGTGCTGCATTTAAACCATTGTTGCCAAGCATCCTTGTGTCTTAGAGAGGAAGTCAGCACAGACAGCTGGTGGCAGAAACTGCTATTGAAAGGCACAGCTCAGGTACAAAGAATGAAAGAGATAAGGTTTGTGTGGAAGTTACTCTTAATTCTCAGTTGTTGGAAATATTTTCTCTGAAATGCAGAACACCACACAATACCATGGTGATTGATCGTTTTTCCTCCCCTCTTTGTGATTTCCTCATTTACATGTTTGCATTTTAAAGCATGTTTTAAGGAATTGTTCCAGCATGGACATGGTGTGGATGCTGATGACTGTTATGATTGTTTATTTAATAACAGTAAAATTATTAAAGGGCATTTCCATTAATCGATCAATTTTCGCAGAAGAAAGTCACAACCAAAAGAAATGGAGCTGAGCAGACTGATAAATGAGGGTTTTAAAGCTTGCATAATACCTCAACCACCACAGCAAGCTGTGAAGTATGCAGTGGTTAGGAGTAACTTTTGGAAAGCAAGTCAGGAAGACCACCAATAAATAAAAAATACAATTCACAGAAAAGAAAATGCGCCAGTGGGTGAAATATTAGATGGTTTTCTGTCTGGGAGAAGAGATTTGATGGAAGAATCTGCTACAGAAGGTCAACAAAATTATATTCAGTCCAAGAAATGTTTAGTCTTTAGTCTGCACTTCACATTGCTCTCCAATTTAGCATTCAGATATGGCCACTATCCCAGCGTAAAACTGGCATTTTGTTATTCATGTGAAGGGCATTTTGTCTGTGGTATAAAAGCTACTGCTGCATCAGAAAATAAGTATGTTTCTATTTTTACACATATAGCACCTGTAATACCTGTTAGGTTCTGGTTCCCATACCATCTGAAAATCAGGTTCATATTAGTAACATTTTCCATAACACTTAATTCCCAATATTTCATATAAAACTTGGAAACTGGAATTAGCAAGAAATGTGAGTTACTATGCCAGAAATACATCAGATCCTCTCAACTAATTTTATCACTTAAAAGCCTCCATTTGTCAATAAATTGTTGCTGAGATCTTGCTGTTCTTATTGTAACATACACTTTTTAGCAGATGTTTGAAGAAAACACATTACTGAGAGCTTTTTGCTGGATATTCACTCTAAATACTGGCACTGAAGCAAGTCTTCAGGTCAAAACAGTTATTTAAATAATATTGCAAACATGAGCCCCAAGCTAATGTGGCTTGATACAGTGATGAGCTGCAGCTGTCTTAAGCCTTCCTTTTCACATCCTTGTTTCAAAGAAATGTGGTTAACTGTTGCTGTCCCAAGGCAATATTCTGTGTGTGCCTGTGGTGGAAAAATGTGTGTGTTTTGCTTGAGATGTAAGAAACTAATTCACCTGAAGAAACAAGCCAGTCTTATGGTACCTGAAACCATGGATGCACAAATTAGCACAGCTGAAGTAGAACTGCAGGCACAACCTGGAATTACTCTTGTAGAGTTGGTAGGATTTCATGAGACAGACTTGAGAAATTCCAGACAGGTCAAAACAAGGATCCTATTATTTTTACCTGGGGCAGCACAACAAAAAGGAACTTTTGCTCCATAGCAGAAGCCCAAAAAGTTGGAATCAGGCAACTGGTTTAACTGTTAGCTAAAGGTAGAAATTTAGTTATGCTCATAATTTTAACATCTGTTTTAATTGACGTGAGATTCTTTTTTCTTAAATGTAGAAGGGTAAGATGAAGAAAAAAGAAAGCCTATAGTTCAGAAGTCTTAAAAGTTGGAGCATAACTGTCTTTTTATATTGGAATTTCCTCTAAATCTGAAGACAGTCACATTTAATGACTACAGTTAGATTCTCCACTCAGTAAGTCAGCTCCAGAGGGCAGTTAAGACAACCAAGTCTAAAGACAGTGCCTAACCCCCCGAGGCATCCTGAAGATCTTCCTGAAGTTCTTCCACTTCCCTGTCTAGTCAGTGTTTCAGTTGTAACTTAACTAGCACTGCAGCCCCTGAAACAAATTGAGACCCATCATCTAAATATACTTGTATTTTCTCAAAGGCATGTAAGTCAAGCCACAGTTTCATGGTCACTTAAAGTCAGGATGTAACCCCACACTGGAGTAAAAAGCTGTAATCCTCTCTTTGTCACCTTCTGCCGAGAAAGTACTCAGCTTCCATGTGGTTGTCCCTTGAGCTGCCACAAGTGTTTGAACTTAACTGGGGAACTGATCTGAACTAAGAGGAAGGTGGCAGAAAGCATAAGGGCTGGCTTTGACATAGCTTAGTTCCAGGCTCTTGGGCCAGAAAAAGAAAGAACGCAGGCATAGGAAACCACTGGCTGTTTTAAAGTGACTGTAGAATCATTAATGCCTCCTGGTAGATCAAATACCACAAATGTAGGGGTAGTACTGCTTATTTTAAAAAGCTTTCAAGTGAAACCTTTCTTCAAAGGTAGGAGATTGGTCCCCCTTTTTACCAATATCTGATGAGACTCAAACCTAAATCAACTCCAGCCATGTTCACCAATGCCATGACAGACAGTTGAGAGGGATGGTGGTGTCATTCTCAATTCCTTCCTGTAAAGGCTGTGCTGTTCTGCATGAAGGGCTTCAGTATTCAGTGAGCAGAAACAAGAGAGTGGTTGAGTGGTCAGGATATTGAACTAGGAGGAGGGAGCCCACCTCCTCCCCCTGGATTCTCATCCTTGTTCCAAAGGCTGCTTTTGAGCCTGGCCTTTTATGAAAAGAAGGTTTATAAGATGAAGTGCTTGTGTTCATCCATCCCTCCATCTGTCCCTCCTTGATGAATAACACTGAACACATCAACCAGTTTCAGCCAAACCTGACAAAGCAATAGGAGTCTTCAGAATAAGAAGTTCTTCCAGTGTAACAAGGGCAACAGAGAAGAGGAGCAAGACCTTAGCGATGCCCCACTGCATGGAAGAATGAATGTAGCATGAGATCACCTTCATGCAACATCAAAGAAGGAACACAAGAGAGTGATGTCAGAAATACCACAAGGGCAAGACTTGTTCAGGCCTCAGGTTTTACTAGGCACTGAAACTGATACAACAATCCATAGGAAAATATTAGGGCCTTTATTTACAGGGCTTCTTGTGTATTTTACATTACTGGGTTACAATGCAGAAACCAAGCCTTCCTCTGCCCAGGTGATCATCTAGAATGCCTCATCCTCATGCTTCCTCTCTCTTACCTTTTTCTTTATATAGTTGCTTTTTTTTGTTCTTTGTTTTTTTAATGAAGTGGAACAGTTTAAGTAGCAAAATGCACTGAACTCAAAGTAATAATGATGGTTACAGTGCTTCATGAGAAGCTGAGCTGTCTGAGAACCAATCTTTGCTAAGATTCAGTGTCAGCTGTAGAGATGCCCTGTTCTGGCTGACTGCTTGGCCATACAAGCAGTCATGGTAACTGAAGCCCAGCAGTGGGAAATATGGCTTAGGACAGCAGTAAGGTGGAGAGAGAGAAGAGGAGGGAAAATGCCAACCCATGCATGAGCTGCACACATGGACTGAGGGTGCACCTTTAGTACTCCAGATGATCTCTGTGATTTTAAATCTTGTCTCTACTAAGTTTTACACTGTGATCCCTAGATTAGATCACTTGAATCACCAGAATTACAGTTAAATATGAGTATTGCTAATGTAGTTATTAACAGAGCAATACATTGGAGTAAGTGTGACTGACAATGGGGGAACATAGAAGTTTGATTCGTGGGGGTTTTCTCTTGCATTGGTAAACATGCTAAGTAAATAACAGAAGAAAAGCAGAGGTTTTTTATTTATTTTACTCATGTTTTTTCTCCTTTTGTGACACTCACTCGTGATTTTTCAAAAAACAAGTTAACACTTTGTGGCTTTTCTGAATGTGCACACAGAGTATGCATATTACCGTGTTTAAATCTCAAACTTACAGCACACAGTAATTAGTATAATGTGAGTAATCTCTAAAGCCACAGTAATATGTTGATTCATGCCAATTGGATGCCAAGTCGTATGTTACTGCCTGAAATGTGCAACACATGTTCTAAAACATGCTCAACATCTACATGAATACTCAGTAGTTCTGATGACATGTGGAAGAGCATATCTTAAAAGAGCATAAACTGTCCTGCTGGGTTTCAGGTGCTTGGCATAAGCTGCAACAATCAGAACAATTTTCAGACCAATTATATGTTCCTATCACAGATCAGTGGCCAATTTCATTGAGTTGCTTTAAAACCTGTACTTTGCTGGCAGGAGTTTCTGTGAGCTCATCTTTTGAACTTGTTTTAATTTAGGGGAATGTTTT